ATATTTTTAGCAACACTTTGATTCCGCGCGTAGTTACGTGATGTGCCAGAGTCAATTTAGACTCTAAACGGACGATCGTTACCATTCACACTCGCTGTAACCACCAAGAGACCACGTCTACTCGGAACCGGCGTTTGCCGATCGACTCGTTATATTCGTACCACGTGGCTCGAAACCATTAGGACGGGAATCGTATTGAAAGGTTCGTCTCTCACGTGGACGATCATGGCGAATATGATCAAATTGTTAGTAGCGAATTTGCTGCCGATTGACAGCTACCGCACTGAGATACATTGATTCTAGATTATCAGGAGTAGTAGTCACTGCTTCTCTCTGTAACGGGTTAAAAGTATCATGGTATAAAGGGATGGGTCAAACAAGATGGCGAGACCATACAATTGTGTGGCAACACCCTAACAACTAACCACTACGCGGCATAACCACCAGAAATTATGCATTTTAATTAGGTTGTACTATTTAATTGGGAATTATATATATGCGGCTCCGCCGCAAATAAATAAATATAATACAGATCGGAATTTGAGCAGAATAGTGTATTTGCCTTGAATTAAGGTTCTGGGTACTCTTGGAGGTAAGGATTGCGACCCCTTTCACTCAAATTGTTCTAGTATAAAACGTAAGGTCGGTGACGTTAGCTTAGCTTCCTCTAAGCAAATAGCTGCGACAGCCCCGCTGCACTGTTGGATTAATCAATTGACCACGTGCTTGACGCTGGAAGTAGTCCTCACGCAATGAAATCAAAATTGCATTTATCGAAGTCGTCGGACTCTGACGGAGGACTTCAGTCTTAAAGAGACCGTAAATAAGTCCCTCCATAAACGAGGTGACCATCTCTGCCTCTGACAGTGGTTCCCTTGTCATACTAGCACGGTGCTCACGGACTTTCTGTATATAGTCGGAGAATGTGCTGTTGTCTTGACCGCACAACAAAACTTCAACTGTTGTCAAAAGGCCACATCAGGCGGAAGGAACATTGATTTTATGGCATCTTCAGCTCTTGTCATGTAGGGGTGTTGAACCAAAACTCGCAGCTTCGCCACACACTCCCAATGCAAATGTGTTAGGAACAAATATTCTTTCCTGTTGATCTGAGGGCGACCTCCTCCTGTAGTGTTCAAATCATCCATAGATGAATCCACCGAAGTAGTAGGCGTTGGATTGTCTACAAGTGCTACCAAGTGTAACGAAATGACCCGTGCACATACTTAAATCTGTAAACACGCTTCAACGCGTCCTGCTCGCTTCCAGGTAGCCGTCGATTTGAAAGATCGAGGAGAGAAATGTGAAGTGACATATATTGTGACCAAAAGGCCTTAAAGCTTTCCTAAGCTGATAAATTAGTTCAACTGTAATAAACCGAATTGAGGGATAAACAGCATATATTGTTTGTTGATCACACACTCAAAAGTATGTGGTTCACACAACGCGTGTAATGGGACTGAACTATGCTTATAGAAGTAAATTATCGATCCTGTTTTACTCTAATTTACCGCAGATATAATAAAGTCTAAAACATCGATGACCAGTTTATAAGAAATTCTTAAGAATGACCCCCAAACCTATTTGCCATTCTGCCAACCTTGCACTTGAGTCGTGAATTTTTCTGGCGTTTTCTGTCAATGTCTATACTGGTTGTCACGCTGAAACATTAAAACCACGAGGCTGCTAACGCACAGAACGTATTCTTTGTCGAACAATGTGGAAATCATCCCTGTATCACATGAAATCTATCGCAGCTTTGCATCTACACTAATGAAATATATGTCTACTCGCAATTATATTTAGGTAGTCAACAACTACACATTGCATTTTTTTATTGTAACACAGATTTTATGCCAGGAGAAGGACTATGATTGTGTTAATTTTGAAACAATAAATTATCGTAGGACAAGGTTTCATTCCGTCAAATATCATACGCTAATAATTTTTTTACCTTGACGCTTTACAACGTAATTGGAATTTCATGACTGGTCAAAGCTCCGCCAGACAAAAAATGATTGCACTATATTCCTCGACTTTCATCCAACCTATGTGTTGTGACGTTGCCACGCCATTCCTAGAATGAGATCGTTTGTCCTCGTTAATCATATAAAGGTCCAAGACAACGCTACATGCTTTAAACTGAAGATTCGGTAAGAAGTTTGATACTTCTACCTGTGTTCCCGTCGGGATGAAACAGGGATGTCGCATATGCATATGACAGCTTCAATGCCTCCGCGTTCTGCTTATCAGTTTTGGCAGTCTCGAGCTATAAGCGCTTGCGCAATGCTTCTGATGCTGCCTAGACATTTCACAACTTCGCAATAACCAGAGATGTTGATATCAGAAACCAGCTGTCCTAAGCTCTGAGTTTCGTCTTTATTAGAGATAACTGCTTTCGTAGATCTCGGTCCCATTGGCCACGACCTCCACGAGAGACAATATAACCCATCTTATTTTGTCCTAGTGAGCCGCCCAGCTTCTAATGGGAACCCACTCATTCCCTTGTGGGGGTTATCTGAAAATTTCTACGGGGAATGCTGGTCATTCCTACACCCCAGCCGCGCGATAAGGGGGCAAGCAAGTTTCGTATTACCTTCAATACAATATCTGTGAGTACCACGGAGCTACCTCTCTAATTTGTCAGTGTGACTAAGGTCCATCGCCTCTAGATTTTTCATACAGCGGTTGCATCCACGTGCCCTGACTAACCACCACAACGCAAAAGCTGTATTTTGCATTTAACGCAACACCCATTTCTTTATCGGGAATAAGGCGAACGCCAACGGTCTTGATGCAAGCCGCACTTGTTCGAAGCACGTCCATGATTATAGTGACTACTTAGCCTCCGAATGAGGGTTCGACACCATTTCGGTGACAATAGCTCTTATCTCCCAAACATAAATAGTCTATCAAATTCCGACTCAATGGATCGGTGACAGGAGCTTGGATTGCATCCTATATACCTGATCAGGTAGCGTGAACATGTCGCTTTAAATTTTTGCATATTGATATGGCCTTCTCCATATAGTTTCTGCAAGTGGGTACTGATTTAAGAATGAGACCTCCTAGCTGAGAGACCGCAAGCGCAACTTGTTCTTCCTTCATCCAACTTTTTCTGGCCATCTCAGATTCGCTCGTCCAGAGTCAGAGAAAGATTACACTTCTTTCTACACCACGGGGCAGGGGCTCAGAACCAGCGGTAGTATGGTGGCAGCCATTAGACTCACCGCCGACGCCTCGTTTTTGCGCTCCTGAACACGCTTGCCTGCGCATCTATAAATGTGATTAGCGCCCTCCAGACGAACAATATGTGCCTTTTGTCTTTTAGCTACCATTTCCTGGTCCCATATTATTCAATATAGACGCAACACGTTTGGATGGTTGACTACATAAAAAGACATTACATCCTCCATTCTCGGTTTCTCCATTCTCAGTATTTTAATGGCTCAGTGGTGATATTTACAACGAGGTTTCAGGTGAAATGGCGTTGCCTTTCATTGTGCATAGACGCAAATTGTCTCAATAAGTGTATTCTAAAAAGGTACAGAGCTTGGGTTTGTACACCCCACCATGAGCTAAGCCTGGAGCCTTTCAAGTAAACAAACTTGTGCTTCTCAACTCTTACTTAATTCAGAGTAGAGTCTATATATACAGTTGAGTCTATATCTGTAAATGCCTAATTAATTTGTTTACTATGCTCAGTATGTTATACAATATACTTATCGCATGATGCCGAACCCCTGAGCATAGGTCTTAATACTTCGGTATCTACGATCGAACATTTGTACATCGTACAATTAAAGAAGTTTAATGTGTGCCTACACAATACTACAGTACGTACTCCGTTACAAATTTGCCTCTAGCTTGTCTTTATGTCTATCAAAACTCGCCGTGCGTGACACTAGAACACCCATACAGCAAGGGTGTTGTCCAGCTCCGAGAATTTATGAGATCGTTGTCTCCTTTGTTTTCTTAAAGATGTGCGACAAAATCACCGAAATCGTCTGTTTAGAAGGTTCTTGATCAATGCAAATTCCTGCTGTGTCTGCCTCTGCCACAGTTTGAGTTCAACATTTGCTTAAAATTAAAATTTACGACGCAAGCTTAAGACCCTTCCATATAAAGTTTGAGCTTACAAGGATGGTGTTGAATCCGCAATCGCATTTAATCCTGTATTGACATGTCCAAGGAGTCTTAACAGCGTCTGACACACTAACGACTATGGCGCAATCGCGTGAGCTACGCATCATCTGTAAACAATAACTTCGTCCATGCTAAACCGAACATTTCAATTTTTACTGGTAAAGAAGCCAATTATAGTTATTTTCTTTCGCGTCCCAATTCACGATATCGCCCGTCTTAAGTGTTGCTTTAGACATCCACCCTGCTCATAGGCTCGTGTATCTCATATTAACATCTTATTATCGTCTGGTATGTCTCAATTTCTCAAGTTTCTTCGCGAGGCGTGTAAACTTGACCGCACTGCGTTTGTTACAATTTCACGACCTATACTGTGGTGGCTTCGCTTTGCATAGGGCTACGACTTGGCACCAGCAGGTTTATACCAAGGCCATCTAGCTAGGACTTTGTGGCTCTCAATCACATAAGGTTTGTCTTTTGTTCCTGCGAAAGTGCTTAAGGTGCGAATAATCGCAAGAGAAGCGAGATTAAGCCAATAATTTAAGCTTAGCGGTAATAATAAATAAGTCAGTCCCCTTCGCTTCTATTCTATTGGACAGAAATAGCTTTTGAAACTTTATTTGTAAGGTGTGCATAGAGCAGGTTTCGGGTCCAAAAATTGTAAGCCCGTGGGTCTATTTAAGAACAACTCCTCTCCCTGTCCATTTGCGAGTGTTTGTATAGGTCGACCAAGGCTTAGTATTAGAATAGAGTCCTCCGCATCAACGTGCCTGCGCGATAGTCGACCTTTTTGTGCGCCAGAACAGATAATTGTTTTGCCGTCGTCTAGCTCAGCTTCGAGCGGTTTAGTAGTAGCTATGACGACTTCCAGTACCGTGTCGATGCGTCAGCCATCAGAGTCACCACCGACGCGCACGGCCTTTGAGCAACGCCTTGATGCGCAGCGCCGTCGGTCTGTACCCAAAATTACCGGTCGTAAGCTTCGTTTGCCTCGAAAATTTGTGATTACCGACGTGCCGGACTCTTTGCAGCAGTCTACCAACGACGAGGACGAGAGCAATAATTACAGCATTGAAAACAACAGCGAAGACCTTGCAGCCTCCGCTTCGTCTGTGCGGAAGGGGAAGACCCAAATTAAAGGCCGCTTTACCATAACGGATCTGTCGCCAGAGCTTCCAGAGTCTTCGCCGGAGCGCGAAGACTTTTCAGTCTCACTCGGTCCAACGTCTTCTTGTGATGTTCTGCGGCGTCAGTCCTCCAGGAGATTGCCCACTCGAAGGCCTTTCCAATCCGCAGGTGATGTTCGCTCCGCGATCAGCCTGGCAGATTCGAAACCTGGACCAATACAGGAGAATTTGGTGCAAGAAACGCCCCTTTTGGTTTCCTTACAACGCTATCAAGTATCTCCTCCGTCTTCGCGCCGTTCAGAATCATCGGGCAATTTAATGAGTAACCAGATCACCCACAACGTTAGCAATCCGAAACAGGCACTGTCTGATCATCATTTAGAGTACTTGGAAAAAGAGACGCACGAGATGAAGTCAGTACTAGAAAATATGGTGGCCACTAATTCCCAGTGGATTGAGGCTTTGAGCTCTGCTGGAATTATAAGTGCCACTTCGGCCTCTAAATCAACTTTTGGATCAAATTTTACAGAAACGTCCCCTCTGGAAAAGCAGCTTCGTGACGTTGAGAAGGCTTACACAGAATTGCAGGCTAAGTATGCGACAGTGTGCATCAAGTCAGAGCGCTTAGAGGTGAAAAATGCAATGCTCGAAATTAGGCTTCAGCAACAGACTAATCGCTCGACAATGTTGCGATCACAACTTGACAAGCTCACTCAATACACAGAGAATCTGATTGGTGAATCGTCGGAGCCAACACTACACGACTACAATTCAGATTTGAACTCCATTTTGAACGAAAACCTCGTGGAAATCTCCTCTACTGACGATAAATTGACTAGAGGCGGTGCGATTGGATTTGGTTATGATGTGGTGAAGTCGCGGCGGCAAAGTTGGCGTGACGCAGATGAGGAGTGTATCTCAGATGCAAGTACTGAAGGTGACTCAACGAGGAAGACCCTCTCGCCTCCGCTGTCTGATGAGGACAATAATTGCTGTCAATGTGACATTGAGTTCCGCTCTACAGACTTTACATCAGACGACAATCGTCAAAGTGCTTCAGCTTTTGATTCACTGCTTGATGATCAGTGCGACCAAGAATCTCCAATTCTGAATGACAAAGCAGATGACTCTCCTGAAAGTTATTCAGTGGATTCTTTGGCTGTGTGCCCGTCTACAAAGGATGGCGTCAGGAAGCATAGCAGTTGCAACCAAACTGAGCACTCGAGTCGACTGTCAAATGGACAGAAGTCGCAATTGCTACAGCACAGCAATTCGGTGTCCTCTATCAACTACTCGACTGTTTCGTCAAATTCGTCTCTGGCCGGTTTTGGACTTCACTTAGCAACCATGGCGCAGTCCAAGTCCTGCGTTTTTGCCAGTGTTGCCTCTACCAGCTTGTTTGGCCCGCATCCGGAACCATATCCAAATGCCTCTAACCAACGAAGCTTTGAGCATGACGACAAAACTGTGTACGATGTGCTTAGCCCGGAGAATCTTCGGTTTCATGACTGCCAGTCTTTTATCCAAGCAGCCGAAGCGCGAATCGCTCAAAACTCGTCCGCGCGACACGAATATTCATTTTTGACGAGTAAGAAAGCTGCATCGTTACCGGGGACGACTGAAGGCTCCGAGCAGACACGATCGACTGGCAATTTGTTTAAGCGATTTTCTCTGCGGCGGCGGTAGCTGGTGCGTCGGTAGTATGCCGTCTCGAAGCTTCCGTCATCATGGCGATGACTGGGGCTCGGTTGTCTTTATAATCTCTTCCAGGTAAGCCATGGAAGCTGCCGGGAAATATGAAAATGTCAGAAAAAGCGTCAGATGATAGTAATATGAAAAAGGACGTGTTTTAGCTTGAGCGAAATATCCTGCCTGTCACTTCGCCTTTATTATTTGAGAGCAGCGGCAAAAATTGTTGCGGCAACATGGGAGCACACCAATGTCGAAGATAGAATCATTAAATCATTTCTTTAGCACAACCTTTACTAGGCGAGTTTCTATCTTTGTTGCCACTGACTCAAATCTACACTTCTTTTGCCCGTGCCCTGGATGGCCACACAAATTGTGTGGCCAGGCCTAAGCCACGAAGATTGCTTTGTTCATCCACAACGAATTCCATCGGCATTGGAAATGAGAAAACGAGTCTGTTTGTGACCGATCTCCTACAGCGCGATATGTATCGCATTTCTTAACGTTGTATTCAGCAACGAAAACGTCATATCCGTGAACATTGTGATGGGCAGATGCCATTACCACGCGAATTTCGCGACTGGTAATCATTCAGTTTGAGCTTCCGATGCCTGCAGGTCAGGAAGCGCAAACGCTAAATGGAACTTATGTTGACCAGTATGAAAATATCGCTAAGTGGAACTTATAGTTGACCAGTATGAAAATATCGCACAACTTGTCATTGAGTTACAACCAAGGCGTTAACCATCTACGCCTCGGGATGCACATTCAACTTTCTGCCAGTAGACTAGACACGGATAAACGATGCTCGTCCATAATCTGGATTAAGCAAACAAGGTGTTTAAGAATTTTTATCACAAATTGAATGTACCAGCAACAACTCGAATCAATCGGGATTCGAAACGCGTAGCAAATCAGCCCATTATCTGTAAAACACTGTAGTCCATCTACACGATCACTACGAGTGACCTGGCCTTTGCCTGAGCCTGCTTAGCCATGAGGAGCATTTTGACACCTGATCGAAAAATTGCGGAGGTTGGATGCCTGTATGGTTTGTAGTCTTGGGGTGAAGGCGTTTCTCCGCAATGGCGAAAGAATGCGCAGCGTCTCCCAGGGTTCATGATTACGGACCTCGCGGATACACGCGCGCGAGCGCCTCGATTTAGGTGCACTTTCGTGTGACAATCGACAGTGAGAAGTATGGAAGACACTCTCTGATATGTTTCCAGTGAGCATGATGAAGCAGTTTTCACACATTAGATATTTGACGAGGATAAGCAAGTGATATATATAATACCTAACTTGCTGAGAGGCGAGTCATGAATTATCTACGAGTATCTAATCAAGACTAATTCTCAACCCTTATGATCAGGTCCCAGATACAGTCGACCTGCGAGGCACCTCAAAGTGAACGTCCGATTTCTCAGCGCAGCTTACATGAAATACGATTTTGTCATCGAAAGCTTGGTTTATATGTCTGCTCAATTGACGACTTTCATAACCGGTCTTCGCGATGTTCGAATCAACACACGATTTTTGGTCGCATCCCAATACTTTTGATGGGGCATTTGTAATTGTGTTTAACAAATGCTTATCACGCTCGTGGAAATGGTTCACAAGCTAGTACATTATCGGAGCCCAGCGATCCAGAACCTATTTCTGTCGTGTGCTATAACAAAAGCTCTCTCCGCACAGGCGGGTGTTTTTGATGTTTATCACTCGGGATTGTACCAGCGAACGACGCATTAAGACGTGCTGATAGTAACGAACCATCTCGCAGTGATCAAACAAACGAAAAAACTCCTGTACCGTTGAAAATTTTGTGTGCAGCGGTGAGGCATTGTCCCTTTTCCTCCGCAAGTTGGAAGCGCGCTTGATGTAATAGTCATCAGAAATGTTGTGCTCGGAAAGATTGCAAAACAGCAACTTTGCCGCTAAAGTTCTCTAAGTACATTGAGATCGCTGAGGAAGAAGTGAAGACAAGTCGACCCGTATTCGGCAAGCCGAGTCTCGTACCTGGCGCTTGGTGCGTCGAGAAGAATGATACTTTTTTTCCATCAACATACATAAGGGGTTCAATTGCATCTTTAGTATGCCACTGTTTGAGCGTCATGACCTGAAGATCAATTGAAAAAGTCCATCTGTAAGGAAAATCCAAAAATCTGTCAAAGGTGTATGGTGCATGAACATCCTAAGGGTGCCATCCGTGACATTTCTTGCTGAACCAAAAAAGGGTTGCGCTACTATCGTGAAATGTCACTGACCGGGTGTCTTGACTCTAAATATGATTCCGACACACGGAATAAGTTTACTGAATCTCTTGTCAAAGACGCTCGTGAAGATTCCATCGTGAATATCAATTCTTCCAACTCCGCTAGCTGAGTCAAAGACGACCGCTAGTCGGTAACTCATCCGCCTTTCCTGGCTTTGATGGGTACACAACATTCACTATTGTGGATCAAGGATGAAAAGTTTTTGCTGCTGTGCACCGTAAATGATCAAACACCTCAATACATTATTACCATTCATATCACCGTTAGGTTAAGTCACATCTAGGTACTCGCTCCAAAGCTCTTTTTAGGGTGATGAGAACAAGCAATTGTCAAAAGGAGAGATCCATGACTGCTCGCCTTTCTCGCTAGGAGCTTGCATATCAGATACCTTCTTACTCTTGGACCTAATCAAAGCTTGACGAAAGGTTAAAACTCTGACCCATAAAATTAGTCAACGCGCTGGTGTGCAAAGACTATGAAAGTTTATCAATTTATTAGAGCCTCACTATACGCAACAGCCGCACGTTTGTAGTGCCGATTCTCGTGCACAAACAACCTAGCTAAACCTGGTATTGTCCAGTTTGAAACGAAGCCGACTCCATTGCTATCTCAACCTTTTGTGTCCAGAGGAGAAGATTCTCAACAACTTTGCCGTCCGGGAAATTTTGTGTTACAGAATCCGTCTCGCTCTTTTTTTTAGAACTCTGTAGGAATCGGTGCTGCAAAGTCTGATTGAGGCAACAGCAGAGAATTTCCCCAGCGCATTGATTTAGCTGGTGGATAGATTCTGGCACGTGGGAACCGTATTCGCGTATTTGAACGCCAACTGTGCTATCCAGTTAGACCCAGGAACTTGTTTAGCATGTATTGCTGGTCTGGTATAAGATAGGTCATCATTTCATATCCTAACCTCATGGTGGGTATAGTAGGATTCAAAATCAGTTGTCGAATTGATGGCAAGAGTTGCTAAGGGGTTGCCGTGTTCATAATCAAAGTTAATTATTTCGCTCGTAGAGCCTGCGTCGACGCGCTAACAAATTATGAATTCAAAGAGACCTTTTGCGTCAGGTCAAGAATTGCTGAAACTTGCACTCAACGCGCGGGGCAATTTCTGATTCGCAGGGTCCGATATGGTGCGAATTTGGTATCAGGAGGTGTCGTATGTGCGCAAGCACATACTTTCAATCCTAAGATATTCCCATCGCTTTCGATTGCGAGGCGTAAAGATGGAACTTAAACACAGTGCAAATCGCTATACCCCAGTAGTATCACAAAAAAAAGATCGATTTCGATTGTTCTGCTTGGATGCCAAGGTCAATGTGACCTAGCCCTCGTAAGAGAGAAGCTACTAATGTCTAATTTGATGATGAAAGACTGTTAAAAATCATTACGTTGCGCTACTTTAGAATATCTATAGGTTTTATAGTTGTAAGGGTCATCGTAATACAGATGACAGTTTATCTTGCTGTGAGGGGCTTAGCTTAGATGCTGCACTCATTACAACGGCGAGTCCCAATCTTCTCTGAAGTTGCCTTAAGAGTCGCGTGTTCGCGTCTTTAACGACGTTTCTAACTTCTTTCAGCATAGTCAGCGCAAGAGGCAACACACTTCGTGTCAACGCATAGTTGATCTTGTCATCCAGGCTCTGCGCTGTCAGCTGAGTTAGCGTATCAAGTAGCACTGGAAGCACGCGCGAATTAGCATTGCGAGCTTGAATTGCCAAGAGCTGACATAGCGAGCGCTGATCGACATGGGCACACAGTTTTTGCAGAACAGACTTAGCTAAGATTGACGTTCGGCCATTAGCGAGATTCTTGGTAATTGCAGGTACAACATTTGGCAAAATCTGCTCCATCCTAGTACCAACAGCAGGAACGATTTGTTCCATACACTCCAGCGCAAAAATATTCACTTTGGCATTGCCATCGTCTAGACGCTTAATAAGCTGGTCAAATAGGTTAAGTATCTGACCGCTTTCAGCCAAAGCCGAAGCGCAGCTACATATGAAATCAGTCGTTTCCCGTAGTGCATCGAACCGGTCTTTCCAATTGCTGCTGCCAAGTTTTGTTTCGAAACTATGAAGCTCATCTAAGTCTATCTTTATTCGTGATCCATTGCTTGATACAGGTGGCGACACTCCGCACGAAGACTGGTTTTTTATAATTCGTGTTGTTTTTGCTGATGATGCAGCGGTTACTTGTCTCTTGGCAGCGCTGCAAGACGATGACAAGTCCGCGACAACTTCAGCCATACTGAAATGTTTGGGCGCTGGAGAAGAATACACATCTTTTCCATTAAGGACACTGTCGACTTTCGTCTGTGCCAATGCTGGCAGAAATCTCTTGATTTGTTCGCCCGACATGCCCTTTTGGAAGTGCAAATGCAATATTGTCTGCTTAGAAATATTTCGAACTTCATTGTGGGAGTCTGCGAGGCATTGACCAACGAGCTGCAGAACTACCGCGAGGTCCTTATCAGTATGATTGATCTCAGCCTGATTCACAATTATTGTGTGAACGGCACGCGCTATTTCCCGACGGATCGGTACAGCCTTGCTGTTCACATGAAATCGTAGCGCAACTACTGTTCGAGCTGGTGAGCACTTGAGTACGATAGTATTAAGGGTTACTATAGCTGATTCGGATACAAAAAAATTTGAATCGGCGCAACGTTTGAGCAAGAAAGGAACAATGTTTTCCACCTCCGAGTCAATTTCTCGACCGAAAGCAGCACACATAGTTTCAAGTGCCAGCAGAGCATTCTTCGAGACGAAAGAACGTAAACTCATAACATGCACCATAACCTCAGCAATAATCGTGCGGACTTTGTTGGAGTCAATAACATTTGAATGATGCACTGCTAATCGCCGAACCACACTCAACGCGTTGAAAACTACCTCCCAATCATCACACCGAAGATTTAGAAGAACTTCACTCAGCTCTTCTTCCAAATTATTCAAGGGTGCAATCTCATGAGGCTCTAAATATCGCGGTTCTTGCTTACTTATATGCTGAAAATGCTGATCCGCTAAAACAGCATCATTGCTTGCTGACTCATGACATAATTCGAGCGACTGCGAGCTATTCTGCTTAGCCTTTGCCTCGAGGCGTTTTTGAGTCGCAAGAGCCGCAACACCTTTACGACTTTTTTTTGATCTCGACTCGGTTTCTTGTTCGTGTTTGTCGACAATATTAATTTGGGAGCTACCTGAGATGTTCATTGGACGAATAGGGCGCTCGTCTGGTGACTGGGGTTGATTATCTACATGTGCTTGACGACTTCTCAGCAACTCGAAGTTTAACAGATGTTCCTCGATGGCCAACCCTTCACTTTGTGAAGTTTGTAGCTTTTGAGGACTGAAATCGGTGGGCTGCTGCTGAACTGAAAAGCATTTCTCTGCTTCAAATGGTGATGAAATATGTTCACAATGACTTAATTGGACACGCCTCTTCCCTGAAGACCGGCTAAAGGTCTCATCCTTGCTCTGATCGTCAACATCGTCGTGCTCTGTGACATTCGTCGATAAAGGTTGCACTTGGGTGGTCTCCAATTTGACTTCGTGATCGCGTATTCTCTTGATACGAGATTCATGAACTTGATTTGATCTCATTTTCAAGAAAGAAAGCTTATCACTAATATCAACCGTTGTAAGACTGTTTGCTGACCGAAAATTACCATCACTAACGCAATTCTCAACATTTTCTCCTGATACCACTGCCTGTTTCACAGAATTTGCACATCCATTCGTTGGAAGATAACAATCAACAACAGAGTTCGGCTCTTCGTGCATCACCATTAGCCTCAGCTCAGAAACATTGTCGAGTGACTGCTCCACACTCGAATCAAAGCGATCCGATGGGTTTCTGCTTGCACTTGCTGCTGCAGGCTTTATAATCAAAGTGTAATTCGATTGAAGTTTTGGAACATGCTTTCGCCATAAACGTGCACGCAACGCAGCCCAATCAACTCGCTGTGAGACATACTCACTGTCTATACACGTTTCTAACAAAGCATAAATATTACAACGACACACCATAGTAAGCACAGCAACTACTTCCAAAGCTAAATCACGAACACGAGCATCGTTGTCGCCGAGCAGGCAACCGAGCGTTTGTACGACATTCTCATTTGGTGCGTAGTCTGATGGAATCATATTTTTACGTTCAGCAATTAACAGAAGCACAAGCCAAACTTTGACTGCTTCCACTCGCACTTGACAGCGGCGGTGGTGAAACAATGTGCAAGCAAGAGTCTGCTCAACGGATGAGACACTAAGTATTGCACTTGCAAAGATTTGGCCTAGCAAAGCATATACGAAACCCTCCATCTCAGCATCGTCTTCAGCAAAGTTTGCTGCAGTTTCAACTATAGGAGGAACCAATTTTGTCATACTAAATGCTGCATTCCTAAAATTTTTGTGACAGCTATCAAGCTTGTCGTTTGTGTCGTCTTGTGCTCTATCGTTTTCGAATTGTCGCGAGAAAGTCAGCTTGCGGAAGATTACTTGAGTAATCTGGAGTGCTCTTTTCACAATATGAACGTCAATATCTTTAATGAGATGTATGAGAATGTCGAATAGTGTAACAAGTTCGTCAAATCGTTTACCTCGCTCCTCAGCGGAAACTCCACACAGAGAGCCGGCATCTACTTTCTTGCAAGCGATATAAAGCTGTTCAACGGCGGCTGTACGTTTCTTCCAGTCAGCTTTCGAATTGCTCATGTAATTGGTAAGTGTTGTCACAATATTAGGTTTAACGAAGCCAAAGTAAAGCCCTTCTATTAATTGAAGAGAGGGAGAAGGAGGTATAGCCCGAGGTGTGCCCAATTGTACATCTGAAGGCAACTGTAACGAAGGTGAAATGGATAGTGATGCAGAGTTTGTGCATACCAGCAAAAATTCATTGATTGGCTCTTGATGCTCCTTAAGCGTTCGTTTGTCGACAGAACTAAGAAATTCCATCACGTCGACCGAAAAGCGACTTCCCCAGTACGATTGGAGTTTGGCGATAGCTTCCTCAGCCGCAACGACAACATTCTCATTCGTATCTTCTAATGCTGGTACGATAGCTTGCACTAGAGCGATAAGAATTGCTTTGTCTCTTCGCCCAATTGTCCCAATTTTAGAATTGTCGTGATTCATCAGACGTTTCTGATATCGTTCGTCCAGTAATTGCATCAGGGCAACAAGCGACGCTTCCCGCACTGATCCCTGGCCACTTCCTAGGCCAATATTAACAAGCAGATCAGCAGCAGCTTGCAAATCCTGTGTAACGATCGTGTACTTTCGAAAAACCTCAATGATTTCCTCATACAACATATGTGAATCCACGTTGCTATCTTCCTCATTCTCCTGCTGCTTGCGTGCCATCGGTAAAAGCGAGATCAAGTGTGGCAGGATTGACGAAAGGATTTGATCAAGGTTATCCCCAAGAGAAGACATGACGTCTCCTATTAACCTTAGCGCCTCAATAGCTACACGACGATCTGGCTCGTTTATAATTCGCCTGCGAACGCATTGGAGAAATCGCCGTGCGTTGCGAACAGGAAAGTGAGTCGTTTCGACTGCTGCAATCTTTCGAAGTTTCTTCAGCGATTTCCAGCGTACAACAGGTTTGTCATCCTCCAGTTGGTACACAAGAGCATCCACACTCGTCGCTGTCGAGTAATCTCTACTGGACATTGTTGGGACTGCTCATCGATAAAGACTTAAACATCGGTTTCAGAGAGATGCAAATATAAATGGAGCAATGCTTTTGCAACAGAAATCAGTTCAAATTTTTTTCATCTATTTGAAACGGATTTGGCATTTTATACAAAGCCGAAGACAAGCCGAACTACCAATCACACCCCCGCGAGTCCAAACCTCTAGTCTTGTCTCTCACGTCTGCCTCGTCTTCATCTCACGATCACGATTGTGTGCTATTTTACATTACAAAAGGCTGGCATGCATTAAGCTCCTCTTCTCATCGAGGCGCCAACTGTCTTAAACAAGACAAACACCATTTGACTTCGTAGTTTCATTGTAGTCTACACGCTTTCGTTCCTGCACCTTTCATCACAATGTAAACTAACCGACCCTCACCATCTGTAAATACCGGGTGTTTAATCGTTTGTCACTTTGCCTCTTTGTAACTGTTTTAGCACCAACAAAAAGAGTCAACGCACGTCCTAATTAAGCGGAAGATTTCATTCATCTCCGATTGTTGCGCTCCGCAAACATTTTGATCTCTTCAAAGATGCGAGCTATCAGTTCAACAAAAAATATATCAACAACGTTTCACAGCCAGATGTTGAGCAGAGTATTGCAAACCTTTTAGGGCTTCTTTGTTTAATGGAACGTTTTCAAATTCCATTCCGAACGGATTAGGCTCCACTGATTCAGCCTGGGATCTTCGCACAGATTCCAAAAACGGGTGCGCAAGTGCTTTGTCGACCTGATACGAGGGCAATTAGATTCCATTAACATGGAAAATTTCATCTTAATGCATACCGATATTCGACTCTCTGGGTTAAAGGAGAGCATTTGCTTTAGCAAGTCTAGCGAGTCAGCAGGAGCTCCTGGGTACATCTGAAGAGATAGTAAACAAGGTCATCACGATACCCTTTAGCAAATTTTCTCAGACAAGCATTGCATACCTCACGAAGGTCCCTCGGTTCTTTTTTTGGTAGTTTCCGCAAATATTGTTTGACCTCACCCAGACTTCCGATGTCGTCTTCTCCAGGCGTCCCAATTACATTAAATATCACGTTTAGCTGGTCAAGTTTGTCCGAGTACGTCGTCGGACGGTCTGCACTTAGAGGAAAGCACGAGCGACCAGGAAAAAGAGGTACGCGTTCTTGGTATCTCGGGCAACTTTCAACTTGCATACTCAGCAGCTCAGCAAAAATGCATCCGATACTCCACATATCAACAGAAAAGTCGTAATCTTGTAGGAGAATAAGCTCAGGCGCTCGATACCATCGAGTTACTACATGCTTTGTTAGCTGTCGCCGCATCTTAGGAAACTCACCGGAAGACGAGGGAGTTGATGCGGCACTTCCTGGTGATGGCGCAGAAGTAAGTCCTCCGTCAGATGTGGTGGGTGACTTCGAGTCCTTCGGTGAGTACAAATGTTTGCTCAGTTCCTCCATCGACATATTACTCTCCATCACACGAGAAAGCCCAAAGTCGCAGATCTGACAAAGACCAGAAATAAAATAAACTGAACAAGTTGATGTGGCAATTTCTACTACTTACCATTAAAGTGCAATCTTCGTTAAGCAAAATGTTGGCAGGTTTCATATCACGATGGATTACATTCGCCGAATGAATGTACTTCAATCCACACAGGAGCTGGTACAAAAAGACTTGAATGTGGCGAATGGTCAAGTACTGTGGGCTCATGATGAGCTTATGCAAATCAGTGTCCACAAAGTCAAACACGAGATATAAATCCGTGAACGTATCATAGTTTTCAGGTGGAATAACGTCGATCAAGTTGATCACTTGCGAATGACTAATATCGAAAGTTAAAGCCAAAGATATCAGACCAGTACCTAATATCAATCAAATATAGATATTACACAAGTTTATTCGCACCTAAGACGCCGCAAAATGTAAATTTCGCGATATAGCCGCTTGCAATCGATTTCTTGGTCAAAAACATTAATGATTTTTTTGATAGCAACTTTTTGCTGACGTTCCTTATCAAAGGCTTCAGCCACCTGCAAAAACACAAGCCACGACAAATGATCACATATTATAGCATATAAGAGCATAAGATAATTTACAAGTCGTACCTGTCCGTACGAACCCTTTCCAAGTAGCCGGATGAGCGTGTAACGGGTTCCAACATCCCAATTAGCAAAATTACGAAGATTAAGCGGCGCCGCACGGGGCACGGGCGACGGTGTCGCAGTATGCGACGTATGTCCGTTGGCGTGATTCGTCTGGCTTTCGTCTGCAGGCGTAGAGGCTGAGCTAGCGGCGTGTTGAGCCATAGTGCTATTAGATGGAAAGCCGTCACTGGGTGTAGAGTTGAAGCCTTCAGGTGTGTGGCTGAAACCATTGCGATTAACAAAAGCAGGAGTTGGCGGCATATGCTCCACAGGCCCGTGTGGGGTGGGCGCAACAGCGGCACTGAACATAGCGCGCTGGTGGTCAATGAACTGGTCGGAAGTGTGAATGAATCCCTGTGCTGTAACAACAGGCGGAGTCAAGCCATTTGAAATGCTTGCGCTTACTGAGGCAGTCGGCCTGGAGAGTTTGCTACCACGCTTGAGACTAGAAGGTGGGGTGGTGGCGTTCATTTTACGCTTGCGATTCGCTGCATCAGGCATGTCTTTATGAGTGGCGGTCTCCATGGCGAAGCAGCGGCAGGAATGATGGTAAGAGGGGAGAGGGGGAGCTGTTTAGGATACGTGGGGAATAGTCAAAACGTTTGTCCGGATACCGCTTCGCGCTTTTTGCGTTGTGTTTGCGCTTTCGCGGAACGGGAAAACTCAGTAGGATTTATTTTGGCCAACTGTCGAGTAGTAAAGGTGCTTCGAGCAACCGATTTGTTATACTTTTGACCAATACTACACATTCTTCGGAACTGACTCAAAAGGCAACATCAGGTTTACTATGTTATCGTGCCTGTCTAGCATTTTAATTAAAGCTACCTTACTGCAAGTATGCCATGTCGCGAACATGGCATACTTGCGGTAAAAGGTCTTATTTTTCAAAGGTATTAGCGCTTACTACTTATTTGATCTGTGAATGATATTGCGCTTTTCCAGTGTTGATGCTTAAGATGCTTTACCGCGTTGCCACCATCTGCCACCCAAAGGCGATGCTGTGCCGAAATTCGAAGGTGGCAAGCTTGCTGAAAAAACAAGCAAAAGCTTTTGATGACGAACGAAGCAGAGCGAGTCTCTATTGCGCTCAACATACATGTGTTATCGAAAAGCTGTCAAAGAGAGATCGCATACCGTACATATAAGGCTGACAGACTGATCACATTATTCATGTGGCATAGCACTATTGATAGCGCATCCGAAAGAAGAAACTCTAATAGTGATAGCATTGCATACCACGTCAAAATTGGGAGGCATCCCGAATCAAAAAAGCGTCTAAGTCTTCCAAATCGTTATCCTGCGTTTCAATGGCAATCTCTTGTCGGCGCTGTACCTCGTTGGCCTTTTCTTTGACCTTATTTTCATTGCTTAAGCGTTGAGCTTCTTTATTCGCAAGTCGTATTCGCTCCTCTTCCTGAAGATGCAACATACGTGCTGTAGCAGCGCCACTCTTTTGTCTGTCGTTTTGACGCGTTTGGCGCTGCTGCTGTTGCTGCAGATACTTCTGGTCCTGCAATAGCTGACATAGTTGCTGCTGAATCTGCTTTTTAAGAGCTTGGACCTGATGAAGTTCTGTCTCCAGGTCCAGCAGCAGCTGCTCATTCTCATACTCGTCTTCAATCTCAAAGCGGCGCTCGGACTCCATTCACCCTTGTGTGTTGAACACCAGCTATATATTAATTCGCCAAAATGGGTGACTTAGACCTCAGCGACACCGAACGAATGACAAAGCTGCAGCTTTTCGAGCTGAATGCGCTGCAGGTGGTGGGCGACTGGTCAGTGCATGACGATGGCGATGGTCATTTATTCTACCACAACTTCAAATCAGGTATATCGCAATGGATAGTCCCTGAGGACCTCGCAGCGCTTGAAACCGAGTTTATGATGAAGCTGATGCTGCAAAACGCGGTTGCTCGCTCAAATGTGTGGACTGCTCACGACGCAGGCAATGGCACTTTGTATTATTTCAACTCAAAGACACGTCAGTCGGTTTGGGAGCGTCCTTGCGATTGGGGTAAACTAGAAACAAATGTAGAAAATAAAACAGAGAGGGAGGTGCAAGAAGAGAAAGAGAACGAGAAGGTTATCACGGAGAATCAAGAAAAAAGGAAGCGTCAAAATCATGAACTTAGCAAAACCAAGCAAGGCGAGGCGGCTAAAGAGCAGCTGGAACTTCATGGGAACATACAATTACAGGAAGAGGATTTACCTTTGACAATAGAAGAGCGACGATTGACTGACGAACGCCAAAAGCAAGAAGAGAAGGGAATTGAGCTATTTCGAGTCATGTTGCGGGACAAGAATATCATGCCTTTTTGCAAGTGGTCGGTGGCGCTGCCCCAAATTGCAGGAGACCCACGCTTTCTGGGTGTGCCGACAATGGACAAACGCCGTGTCATATTCGAAAATTTCGTGAAGCACCGTCGAGAAGAGTTAAAGTTGGAAAATAAGGGCAAATTGAAGCAGGCAAAGACACTTTTTGCGAATTTACTCAGCGAGCACTTTCGGCTCGATACGTGGGAACCAAGCACAACATTGAGTGTTTTCTTATCGACACTAGAGACGCATATTGATGCTGAACGTTACAAAAATATCCAAGAAAATGCATTGGCGCTGCTGAAATTGTCAACTCAGGAAAAGATTTATGCTAAGGCAGTAGCTGATTTTAAAATGGAAGCACTCAAACGAGACGGCGAGCAGTTGCGACTAATGAATTACTTTGATAAAAAAATTCATACTGAAGGCAACAAGACATTGCAGTGGGAGAGCGATGAGTTACAGAACCTTCTACGCGAATACTATAGCAATGCAGCTTTGAGTGGCGAGGCGCACACACTACTTTCGAAGGACCGGCAGAGACAAATTTTCGAAGAGTTAATACTTCGTAGATGTGCCTCAGCACGAGATGAGACGGAGCCTGGGCGACTTCAGTCGTCAACGAAGAAACGTACACATTCAAGCGGGCACAAGCACGATGTGTCGAATTCACGACGTGAGTCGCGCCAATCGCGTAATAATAATCGTTTGCGTAGTCGCAGTGTTAGCCGATCGAAGTCTTATGAGCGCAATAGGAGTTTTTGCAATCGAAGAAACAGTCGGCATCGTTCATCTTCATCGTCACAGTCTAGCTCACACAAAAAGCATTCATCTAGGAGTCATATACAACATCGTCGACGCTTGTATTCGCCGTCGAGATCTCGCTCACGAACACGTCGTTAATTACTAATGGAACAGTAGAGCATAACCACTGAATTGAATAGTACAGATTTGCCAAAACTGAATGCTACCTCTAAAATGTTATCTTTCTCGCCGTAGACTTTGGTAGCGGAGCAAAGTCTACGGTCCGCAATACATATTTTGGCTCGTCAACGATCTTCATCACCGCCTGGACGCCGTAATCTAGCGGCACCGAGTAGATGCCGTCGATAAATACCTTCATATCCCATCCGAGAGACCGCATTGATACACGGCGAGCTTTGCCTCTGGGCACAGGACACAGATGTCAGTACGATCAGGACTTCTGAAGCTAAAAGGCAAACATACCGTCGAAATCTGATATCACCGAACGTAGCATTAATGATAGGTTCACGGACAACATAGCCCATATCCCTTGAATCCTCCGGAAAAACGTTCTCTTTGTTTATTCTGATAATAGAGCAAAACATTACTCAGTTTGTCTGGATTTCACGAGTTTGAAAAGTTAAAACCTACGATTCTGTCAGCTCCGTCACTGTTTCGTTTGTATGTGTATGGTCCATAGCATTAAGAACAGTCGCAACCTGTTCTCGATAGATTTGACACTGCAAACAATCCTCTGTCAGTCAATATTCACAGATATTGCTACAAAGTCGACAGTGTGATACAAACGTACTGCACTTGAGTACCATGCGCTTGACCCTGTGCCTGTGCACATAAGAATGCCACTACTACGGTGAGATTCACGCTGATGCTGGTCGATACCGATGTCGTAGTGTGACGGTCGAGAGGCGTCACTTTCAGCGATAAAGACTTCGTTTAAGGCGAAGCGAGGCAGCTCGTGCCAGTAGCCATCCTGATTCACCATTCCGACTCGTATTCGCTGACGCAATCGCCACTTGAAGTCACCTTCAAGTAAACGGTCCAATGCAGTACTAAACCGTTGGGTCACGTTGTCAACCTGGTAGCAGCACAAATTGCCTTCGCTTCGCTTGGGGTCAGTATTTATTCCTGCCACAGGGATCGGAGTGTTGACAAAGCTTGCAGTTTTCAAAAAAGTACCATCGCCACCAGCAGAAAAAATCATATCCGTTCCCTCTACTGCTTCGTGCGTTAGATGACTAGCTGAGACAACCTTCACTTCGATATCACGCTCCAAAAAACTAGAATAAATGCAAGTCAGAAAAGCGACACAAAAAATATTTTGAGAAATCTAAACCGATACCTGCTAGTAATTTCATCCACAGCCTCAATATGATGTTCGTGGCTCGCTTTAAGACGATCATGAACAAATCCTCGCATTGACATTTGCTTCCTTAGAGCTTCACTGTTAGAAAAGCAGCCAAAAATACAAGATCAATAAGTACGATAGATCATCGTATCAGAAATTGTCAACCATACCCGGTGTTGTTGTACAACTCGGCTTCATGCTGGAATCGAGACATCTTTTTGACCACAACAACCTTTTTCAAGTTCAGCATAGGCTTTCCGGGTATCAAAAGAGGCGTTGGACGCTCTTCCTTACGAAGAGGAACATCCGCGACTGTCTCAGTAGAAGCGGGTGCTTGTTCTAAAGATGTGACTTGCGACAGTACGTCCGGATGGATACATTGATCGATTAGAGTCCTAGCTTGATTGTAAGTCTTATCAAGGTATTCCTCAGATATTATCATTCTGGGAACACGCTCCGCTGTAGCCAAAAGCAGTTCATTGTCATACACTGGCCGGTTGATCTTCATCCATCCCTTGGGGCTCAGTTTTTCGTTCCAAGGGCATACCGAGCGTACGTGGGTAAAAAACGGAGCCATCTTTCCACTCAGCGGATTTCTTCGCGTGTAATGTAAGACATGACCATTGTGAATTTGGTCCACCATACGGCCGGACTCCTGCAATTCAATAAAAGTATCTTGTGACATCCTTTCAAGCCTCGTGCGCATGGCCCAAATCACTTCTCCATGCGCAACAACAATCGCTTTTTTATCATGACATTCTTGATTTAAAATTCCAAGTAATCGATCGGCACGTTGCGCAACGGCAGCTAAAGACTCACCACCAGGCGGCGCATAGTAAAAGCGGTTAAGATCTCGCCGTTTCAGCTCGTCCTGCATCTTTACAAAGCGTTCCTTCTCGCTCATTAAATCCATTGCACCCCAGTCACGCTCGCGAATGAGCATTTCAGCGTACCAACGAGCACTGGGTAATCCCATGCGACCGGCAGTCTCCATCGCGCGTAGATACTCGGATACGAGGTAGCGGTCAAAACGTGCGAGATTATTGCGCTTAAGCCAGTCGCCGGCAGCTGCAGCCTGTCGACGGCCTCGGTCTGTGA